AAGGTGATCCAAGTTCTGAGAAACAGCACTGAGTGGGGGGGCTCATGTACAGGGGATCAGAGCCACTTGGAGCATGGGAGCTGCAGGGAACAACAACAGCTCCTTCCAAGAGTCTGGTCAGCCAAGCTGTCCTTCCCAAAGGGCCTGGGGTGCTGGGACACCACAACCAGCCCCGTGCTGCTGACCAGAGTGGACAGAGAACCCCAGGGGTGTGAGTCCAGCCTGAATTGGGACTACTTGCCATAGAAGAGATGGTTTTGCTTTTTCTGTTTTTTGCCATGTACGTCCAGCTGCAGCCAGAGGCAGAATACAGAGGGGTCCCAGAGGTCTCTGCCCACCCTGCTTTGCCACCCCATGCTCTTCATGCTTGATTTAAGCCACCCCAAGTAGGTCCCAAACAATTCAGAGAAATGATCCAGGTGGTTATTTTAGGTACATCGTGCTCCTCTTGCCCCCATGTGGAGGAGAACCCAGGGGGTGATGGTAAACATTGGACCAGCACTGGCTGGGCCTTTCCACAGCTGCATCTCTGATGATGACACCAGAAAACAGAGAAGTCATCTGAAGAGACCTTCAGTGCAACCAAACCCCAACATTTTGCTTTGGTCTGTACCCAAAACCATAGCTTTTTCCTTTGTTTTATTTTTTTTTTTCCAGCAGCAAAGACAAGGATGGATACCACAATCACCACACAAAGGAAGAGCAGAGGGGTTGGTTGGAGTCATGGCCACCACCAGCAGGGGATGGCTTTGGTGGACATGGATGGAATTGATGGAATCAGTGGGAAGACATGGGTGTGCCCAATGGCTGTCAGATTTACAGGGGCTACAGCTCCCTGGGGCAGTGTTCCCTTCCCTACCCTGGCTCTGCAGGAAATGGGGGAGTGCCAGTCCCTAATTTTAGCTGGGCTCAATTTGTGCCTCCCCAGTCAAACAGGCAGCAACTTCACCTTGGTATTGGGCCATCCCAGGGGCTGTTGGCTGGCAGGAGGGGTGGAACTGATCCCACCCAGCCGCTTTGGCCATCCCTGGCTCAGCATGGGAGGAGGACCCCAGCACAGCTGGCAAGGAAGGCACCTGCTTCTCCCACCTGCTTCTCCCACCTGCTTCTCCCACCTGCTTCTCTCTCCTTTCCCTGCAGTCTCCTCATGCTCAGCTCCCTTGCCCTGGCACTTTGAGCAAGGGGAGGCAACTGAGTCACCTTCCCTTTAGCAGCCAAATTCATCCCTGTGGCAGGTGGAGGATTTGTGGAGGGACAGGATGGGATCATGGCATTAAGAAAGCATGTCAGAACTCAGGAGGTCCAGGGAATGCTTTAATTGAGGTGATATCAGTAACTTCACTTTGTCCTTGATGGCCTGATTTTGGATGACCCTCCTAACCATTTTCTCATTTCCCACACTATTCCAGCATTGCCTTCTATGAAATGCCCATGGAGAAGCCATCAGACATCTTCCAGGCCATTCTCTCATGTGTGCTGTTCCTGACTTAGCAGAGCAATTAAATAAAACATTTTATAAGCTGAAAAAACCCAAATGTGGGTCACAGCATAATGTACAGCATCAGCACATGTGGTATCTCTTGAATCAGTGGTTGGGTTTATTGGCTTCACAAGCAGAGTTCTCCCTTGTGCAGGGCTGGCAGTGCTGGAACCTTCCTGCTTCCTTCAGCTCCTGCAGCTGGAGGGAAGGTGCACTACAGCTCCAGAAATTTCCTTTTCCTGTGTAGATCAAATTACACAAATAGGATGGAGCCAGATGAAGGAGAATTTGCAAATTGCATGGTATTCCCCAACAGTGTCATCTTGCAGTAGGCAGAGAGCAAATGCTGGCTCCTGGTAGATTGCCCAGGGGGGCAGCAAACCCTGTCATACTGAGATAGATGAGATGATACTTGGTGTGACATTTAAATGCAAAGTTGCAGGGAGACAGCAAATGATTAAGCTTTTGAAAGCATCATCTATATTTATTGCTTTGGTTTGTGGTGTTTATTTGTAGATAAGCTCATCTGCTTGTGCTTTTCAATGTAATTTCTAGGGCATGTAAAAGCTCTTTGCCTAAAATGTGGCATGTAGGAGAAACCTGCATGGAGAAGTTGCACCTAGGAGTAGTGAGTTAAGTCAGCTTTTTACTTCAGGCAGGTAATAAAGCAGTTTTTGTTATAAAAATATTTTTAAAATTAATATTCTCTGAAGTTTGCAAACCCAAAGTACTTCAGGGCAGGTGTTATGCAGCAGCCTGTAAACAGGCAGCAGAGTTTTAGTGCAGAAGTAATACTGAAGGAAGCGCCAGAAAATCAAAGTATTGGTTTTCTATTGCTAATGCAAACTCCACTTAGAAACAAAATGTTTAGACAGGAGTGTCTTGGAGACCTCTGGGTTTTCTTCCTAGTGAAATTAGTTCCTGCTGACTAAGGGAGATAAAGCAAAATTAGACATGGTACTGAAGAAATGGGTGCTGTGGCACAGAGGTGGAAGGAAAGCCTCTCACCTGAGCAGGGCACGCCAACACCCTCATCTCCTGCAGATCCCTGGCTCCAGAAGCATTTGCCAGGGCTGAGGCTGCAGCCAGACTAAATGACTTGGAAGGGATTTGCACCCAACCAACCCTTCCAGGCCGACAGGCACAGTAGGTGTTTGGTGCTCTCAGACAAGTGGCTTTGCAACTACCATCCCAGGCAAGTGCCTGAATCTCAGCTCAAGTCCCTGCTGCAATTTCACTGAGTTGATATTTTTGCTATTTTGCAGCTGTTATTTTTGGCTCTTAACCACGGTGTACCTGAGTGTGTGCATGGATTGCTGTCTGGAGGGCGGGTGCTCCCCCCACTGCTGGAAATCCACCCCCAATCCCACCGAAATGGGAACTGGACAGAAACTTTCTTCACCACTTTGCCACCTGCCCAGTGAGTTACAGCAATAAATCTGTGCCCTGGTTGCCATGAAATGTCTCTGCTTGGTTCTGCACTTGGTGTATTATCAGGTAGGGGCAAGAATCCCTCTGCTGGGGTGTCCTGCTCCTGTGCCACCCTCCCCTCCAGCCCTCCCACGCGGGGTGGTGGCTGTCCCGTGTGACAGGGCATGCATGGCACAGCAGGGATCCCCTGCCCGTCTGCTGCTGCTTCCTGCGGGCACAGCTGAGGTGCCAGCACTGCCAGCACCAGAGCAATCAGGGCCCTCTCTGCCCTCACTCTCCCAAGGTGCCCATCAACAGCAGAGTATCATGGAAGTCCTAGAAGTTTCTCTAACATTTGATTCACATAAACACGTTTTTTATTTTCCAGTCCACGTGAAAACCATGGGGCTGGCAGAGTCTCTTTTCCATGCTGTTGGCTGTAAAGGATTATTCAAATTATTCAGTGAATTTTTTAAAATAATTTTAATGGATTTAATATAAGAGAGTTTGGTTTCCCACTACATTTCCTGTGTTTTCCCTATGTTCTGGAAAAATGTTTAATGTCAAAATGAGGATAAACTTGGGAAAGGCCAATTAGGCAAAAATGCACCCAAAGTACTTCATAGAGGAACTGTGAGCCACGGCCTTAAGTTGGAAAAAACAGCAGGACAGAATTACAAAGGCTGGGGAGTCACTTCTGGTGATGGTGCAGAGCTGGGGTGTACATGTCATGCTAAAATAAACAGGTTGTACAGGCAAATTTGAAAAGACAAAGCACTTTTTTTTTTTTTTTTCTGTTGATTATATCTTTCAGAAAATTTCCCTTCAGGAAGTAGTACTAGAGTCAGTGAAGCTTCTTATTTAAAACTGCAAACATAATGCAGGTTAGTAGCATTTTCCTATCCCTGCTCTCCCCCCTCCCTCCCCAGCTGTGTGTTCATTGCTTTTTTTGGGGAATTGGTGAAAGCGTAATTGCTAGGAAGTCCCATTCATTTTCTTATCTTCGAGTGGTTTCCCGATGACTGGGGTCACCCTGACACTGGTGGCTTGCAGTTTCAGAAAATTTAGGTAGAAATAATCCTTAGCTGAAGATCTTGGTTTCTGCCATTTCTCTTCTAGGCACCTCGTGAGGCCTGAGAGCCTTTGCCAGCGAGAAGAGCCAGGGCTGGGGGCCACTGGGCTCTGTCCTTTTCTCTGCAGATGTCCTCACTCCTCCGCAGGGGCTGTTAGGGGTGTGTGATGTCCAGTGAGGGGCTCAGCTGCTCCTGGTCCATCATGCTCAGCCAGCCCCAGGCCCTGCCTACACAAGCCAGGTCTGCTTGCACCCCTCTCCTATCAACTCCTCCTTATCCCTGCAAAATAAAGGGATTCCTGCACCCTGGAAGAGAAGGAAGACAGCACGCAATGCTCTTAGGCTCATTTAAGCATTTGCCAAAGAGAAATATGCGGATGTTACAGAAATTAACTTTCTTTAATGGTGGTTTAAGGTTTTTCCTCGGAAATTGTGCTTTGGTCATACACTGTTTGCTGAGGAGGGTCAGCCCATCACTGCTGACAGCAAGAATTTAAAGAATTGCAAATCCAGCTTCTGCTTGTGGACTCCTACCAAGAATTCAAGGTAGCGCCTGACTCATCTACATAGAAACAGGGATGCTGAAATTCCTTCCCTCAGGGCTTGCATGGCTTTGGAAACAGCATGCTTTGTGCAGCCTCAGAACTCTGACTGGGACTGCCAAGCTGTCGGGCCCCTAGCAGCTGTCACTCCAAAGAAAAGAGCTTCTGGAAGAGCTCAGAGCAGGGCAGGCAAAGCTCAGCATCCACACTAAATCTCTTGAGACGCTTATGCTCCATTTCCCCCTTTGCAGACACTGCCATGAAGAATTAGAACACGACTGAGCAGAGAATTCTCACTGAGCAGAGAATTCACTCTCTCACATTCATCTGGTTAGAGATGGGCCTTTGCTTTATTCTGAAGCAAGGGAAGATTCTGTCTTTGAACATCCAGAGTTAGGTTACCTTGTAGAGAAAGCAGTACAAGTTCTCTTTGAAGCTTGTCAATTTTGGGTAGATTAGGTGGGTAGCAATGAACACACCTTCAACCAAAGTGATGCCCCATCAGTGCTGACCTTGCCAGAGATGGAGAGCAAGCTGTATTGCCCTGGCAGAGCTGCAGCTATTCCAGAGAACCTGCAACTTGTCCAACACAACATGCAAAAAGAACATCACAACTTTATTTCCACTTTTAAAGCATAAAATACATCAAAATTTAACGGTGTGGTAGTAATTTAAATTCTTTCAAATTATGTTGATTCCTAAGCCCAGGCACAGAAATATGTAGAAAGGTAAGAAATGTAAAAGTCTCACAGTTTTAGACTCTGGCTAAAATTGTTACAAATCTTCAGCAGAATATGATAGGAAGGAACTACATTTTCAGACACCTACACTGAGCTCTGTCACGTCAGACAGTGTATAATGTATCAGGTTAGGCTGCCTATAATATGTAATTACTTGACATTCTAATGAACATAGGAGCCTAGGGAGCTGACACTGCACTTCATGATCTCAGAGCACTGGTCAATGTTCTTCTTTATCCTGTAGAATGTTTCCACATACTCTGAACGGCCCAGAAGTTCAACAAAATCTTCATCATGAGTAATCACCAGCAGCTGAAAGTTGCGTTGGTGTAAGCGGCTCTTTATTATCCTACAACGAGATATCAGAGTGTGCATTTACCTACAGCCATGTCAGCATCAGAGCTTGCACAAACATAGCACAACAACATTTCAATATTGATACTGAATGATATGATACCGAGTAATCTAATGCTGATTACCCACTCTTTTTAACCACATAAAAAACCCCTCAAATGATATAAGAAATACCTTTTTCTTTTCCAGATAGAGATTGAACCTTAAATGACTCACAACAAAGACATGCCAGCTTAAAATACAATTCACTACTGGCAAATGGGTATTGAAGACTGCCCATTGTTAAGCACCACAAGGAGAGCTCACTTACTCCACCAGGGCATGTGCCAGGGACTCGATGTTTTCTCGGTCGAGGTTGGTTGTAGGCTCGTCCAGGGCCAGAATGCCACAGTTGATACAGAATGTTTCTGCTAGAGCAAGGCGAATGATGAGAGAAGCAAGCACCTGAGGGAAAGGAAAAAACACAAACAACTCAAGTTTCAAACTGTTTAAAGAGGTTCTACACAAAACAACTTGTTTTTAATGCCATTACAAACCGTGATTGAAGTTTACAGAACAATGTGCTGACAGTTGACAAAATGACAGTAACTAAGTACTGAAAAACTACACTGAAACTTCTAGTTTGAATTCAAAGATTGACTCTACAAAGAAGCACTCAAAATTCAGAAGACACTGAAAGTAAGGATTCTCATCTGAGGTAAAGCCACTATGACACTGCCATTCGCATTAGCCCTGCACTCTGCTCGAGCCCACCCCACTGCAGCAGGTGGAAATTTCTCTGCATATTACTCAGTTACTGAACTCCTGACTTCTTACTATAATGGAAGACAGTAGGATTTACCACCTTCTGTGTTAGTTTTGCATCAACACGCATAATCATATTTACAAGATCTCCTGAACTACTAAAAACTACAGAACACTCAATGGAAAAATATTTTCCAATTATCACGACTGCTGGCATCACATTTCATCATCAAAGAAGAATTCTCAGAATTTCAGCTAAGAAACCTGCTCAAGTTTCACTCTCGCTTACATAGGACTCTAACGCAACATCCTAAACTACTCCAGGAGAGGACACATTTAACAGAACAGACAGGTGGAAAGAACCCTCAGCATGTGTGGGTGTGGTTAACTGTGATGAACTCTGAGCACTCTGATGACACAGCTGGCGTGTCATGAGGCCACCTGGCCAGTGTGTGCTACTGGAGATGAATGGACAGCCCACGGAGCTGCAAGGTGACAGCACAGGAGGAAATGCAATGCCTGGAAGCATGGCTAGGTGTGATACTGGTGACGTGAACTGAAAGGATGTAGTCAGCAGCAGGTGAAAGCAGCATAATTGGGGGGAAGAGAGATCCTATCAACTTAGAAGTAGATGCAGTTGCAAAAAGAAGACCAAGGGCTCAGAAAGAAAAAAAAAAAACACGGAGCAAATCAATAGACCTGAAGCTGAGGTTAGCTCAGTGGTAACCAGGAAGAGACAAACTTGAGGGAGGACTTGAACCTGAGGACAGAGGAAGTCAAACCCTCCACTCCTGCAGGGCATCAGCCTAGTGCCCATCTGAAACAATGGATTTTGGCAGCCCAAAGCAGGGTTCGGATGTTGAGTTACATATTGTGTAACACCCAGAGAGAGTGAAGTTGCACACAATAATAAATTAGAGTTGGAGCTGCCTGTTCTTTGGTCACTTGACTCCTCTGCATTCATGGGAGTCAGTTTTCAGAATCCCTGTTGCTGTGTGCTGAAGATAAAGAGCTTTTACCTTTTGCCCAGCACTGCACCTTCCCCGCATGTCCAGTGCTGTATCTCCCTTCACCATTACTACCCTGTAATTGTAATTTCTTCTTTTGTCAGTGGCTGAGACATTCTCATCTGCATCAGAGCGAATTTCTATATATTCAATATCTGAAAATGGGAAGGAGACAGTTGGTACATTATCAAGAATCTTGAAAAACGTCACAGGATTAATGGGAGATGAGAGGTATAATATGTAGTAACAATAAAAATTCCATTCAGAACTCCCAATGCTGGATCCATCTTGGAAATTAACTCTTCCAAAATGGAAGGAATGAACTCATGCACTGTCCTGTGACAAAGAAACTTAACCTTTGGAAAACAGAGAGAAGTGAAAATTAACTCTATTTATCCTGCACGTTATTACACTGTGTGCAATCAAAAAGATTATAGTGGTGAAGAAGAGATACAGCCTTTAGAGTGGAACCAGCTATTTCCCATCATGCAAACAAAACTCTTCCTTATGCAGTGTTCAATAGCAAATGGATACATATGGGTAAAACTTAAAATATTTTTACATACCTTGTCCTCTGTAGATGCTTCGCCACAGATCACGAATTATTTTGTTAATTTCTTCCATTTTCATGCTATGAAATGTCATTATTGCTCTAAAAAACAGCAAAAAATGTGAACTGTTAGAGATGCAACCATGACCTGCTATGGACCGCTAGGGGTTTTAAGGCAGGTGGCAGCTCCCTTTCCATTCCCTTAGTACTTTTACTGAAAATACAGAAAATACTGGTTTATTTTGGAGAGAGAAGTACCTAAAGAGTAACCATATGCCATTGTGTAAATAATTCTATGCTCACAATCAGCTCAGTCTTAGAAATAGGAAAGTAATGACAACAAATATATTTGCAGTCACTCAATGGAGAATGACTTTAGCTGACTTTTTAAGAGATTTATGATTTATGTGTGAGGTTTGTTTCCAGCCTGACACCAAGAAGATGAATTTGATGTTAAGCTTTCCAGAACAGAACTGTTACTCTGGCATGGTCTGCCAACAGGGCAAACAACACCTGGAAAGGAGACCCCGAAGTCTCCTCAGAGCAGAGAATTCCTATTGAGAAAATAATTTGTAATTTCCCAAGCAGGCATTGAGACAAGAAATACTTTTCTCTTCAGCAGCAAGAGTAACACAGGATATCATTAATAACTTTTAATTTAATTTCTCTGGTTCACATAGTAGCATGGCTTTAGGTCTTTAACAGACGAAATCTTACTCAGAAAAGGACAGGACACTGCATTTCTCACTTGGCTTTTTACAGAAAAGCTACTCTGTAATGAAAGAAATGCTCACTCACTTTATGGCAATGTCTTCTTTCAAAAAACGTGGTGGAAATAAAACATCCTTCTGAAATGGACTTCTACATATGCTTTTTCTACCTTGGCTCTTCCACCTGTTCTGGGGAATACTGAGGTATCAACTCTAATAGGTTTTGTTAAGAAAAAATGAAGCATTTTCAACTATTTGCTTAGGCCCAAGAATGCATTCCTCATCAATATTTATCATTAATCTCTAAACAGAGTCAATAAAGATCATCTGATAGCATGGAACACCCAAAATGCTGGTTTTCCCAGCTACAGATACAGCTTTGGCCATTAGAGTTAGCATTTTGCCTCGCTGATTTTTCAGACGATTACCGCTAAGTGATGCTTATCTATTTTTCTTGAAATTACAAGACTGTTTTCCTGTTTAGCCTTAAATAGAAACAATAGATGATTTGATACCATACAAAAAAATTCTAAAAAGGAAATTCTTGGAGTGCATTTCCATTACAACTGAAAGGGAAGACTTATACATGCTCTGAATAACTTAGATCTTCACACAAATTTTGGATTAGCTTGCATTCTAATATTATGTTTACTTTATTTAATGTTATGATCAAACCAGCTTAGGACATGGTTCCTTTAGAATGTCCTTTCAACTTGGAAAGTTCTCATTTGTTTTGTTTCTCTTCTTGACCACTATGCTGTATCCTCAACCATGTAATTAGGCTTTTGTGCTCCTTTTCCCAGCACTAGCAAACCCTTTTAAAGAGAAGGCCAAAATTCCATACTTTATTCAAGACACAGGTGTATTGCGAATTCCTACAGTGACCAAAATGTTTATCTTTCTCTTTTTTCATTCCTAGTATTTATCTTTCTGCAACTGAGCACAGTTTTCTATTTCCTGAAATGTATCCACTGATTCCAAAATCCTCTCCCACTGTCCATGAAGATGTTCACTGCTATTCCATCATTATAACCAAACAAACAGGGTTTTTAGGGAGCCACATGTTTTATTTTGTATATTGTTACCAATTTTGAGATGCTTTTTTTGCTCAGTCAGTCCAAGACTAGCAAACAAGCTTCCAGAGGAAACAGAAACAAGAACAAACTTGCCACACTTTCCATCAAATGCCAGATATGTTTCTTATGATCTTACTTTCTTTAATATAAGCACAAAACCACCCACACTGGAAAAGAGCAAAAAACTCCCTCTACACTGTAGTATTTTTTAAAACACAATTATTTACCTGAGAAAATGCCATGGGAAACAAGAAATCTACCTGGTATATCTTATTCATGTTAAGATATGACCAGAAGATGTTAAAATCTATTGCTATAGAAATGAAAGTAGAAGGGCTCAAGTAAAAATAAAGGATTTAATCATCGATTTCACCTTTCCTTACCTCTCTCCTACTGCTGTACTGCAAATATAACTCCTAAAACGTACAACCAAAACTCCAGACAAGTCTTTCAGAGAATTGGGAATACAAATGTCAGACTTATCTATGACTGTATTCAATTCCAATTCCTACCATCAATGCATTTAATATATGTATATTATAGGCATTAACTTACAAATTTCCTACATCATACCAATCCTGTGCAGTTTCCAGTATAGTTTTATTAATTTACTTAGGAAGCTATACCTTATGTTTTCTTAATATTTCAATGCCAGAATATATGAAGAGAAATGATGTATCTCAAGGAATCATATCCATTTCCTCTAAGTCACCCTGGAAGCCTGAAATTGAAAGCCGCTTTTGCATCAAGGTTAGCAACACCAATAAAGACAAAAACGTTTAAGAATCAGCCTCATCTGACAACACTTACTTATCAAGAGCCTTGTAATAAAGGTCCAGATCTTTGTTCACCAGCTCTGTTGTTCTCATGACAATCATCATGTCCCTGTATTTTTCTTCTGCATCTCTGAACTGTGGCTCGCGGAGCTCCTTTCTGAAGCGAACAATCTCCTCCTCAAAGCCACGCTGCCGCCCAAGGGCAACGTGATGGTTCCTCTTCAGAGATTCTATTTTCTCCTCCAAATGTTTCTGCTCACTGTCAAACCAGAGTTGACGCTCATGTATTTTGTATTTAGTGTTTCAAGTTTTTAATCAGGGTTCTAATTTTGAGTTTATGTTGGACAACAGCTCATTGTATCATATCTATAAAGTCCATAACAATTAAAATTATAGCACTAATGCCACTGAAATGAAGACACTATTGAAATAAAAATACTTTTAAGTTTGTTAAGAATATATTCTAATCACTATTCTAAGTGGGAGAAGAAAGCTGTCAGGTTCAAATGCTAAAGTGGTATATGTATAAACAAAAAAAAAATTAATTTTATAGATGGATACTGAGCAAAATAAGATGAATTATTGGGTAAACTCTAGCATGCTAAATAAATATTTCACATGCAAGAACCAGCAAAGGAGTAATTACTTTTCAAAAGTGTTTATTATCTAAGCAATTATTTCTAAACTATTGAAGTAAACATAAAATTTGCTGCTGGGAACTAAATGAGCAGACTGAAAATACAAACTAAATACTCTCATCCAGAAGCATGAATTATTCCAATGTGGATTTCTCAGTAAACATCATGAAAAGCACTGGAACAGGTATGAGCAGATATCTCTATTTCTAGCCAGAAGCACTGTATAATTTCAGTCATCCACACTGTTGTCACAGGGATATGAACCAAACAAGGAGTGAAGGAGAAAGTGGCCTGCATGAGTGGGGTGACAAGAGGAGCAGACACACTAAAACACAGTGACTACAACAGCCTGATGTTCAATGAATTCTTGTGCAAAGCACACCATTCTGTTTTGAAGGTGCTTACTTTTTCATCTGGGGGACTTTCATCTCTCCCATCTCCTTCATAAGTTGTTTTATATTGTCTTCAACTTCTTTCAGCTCTTCATTCCGCTTCCTCAGAGTGAGGTTATCCTCCAGCCACCTTTCCTGTATCTAGCTCCAAAGAAACAAGAAATTGTATAATGTTTCAGCATGTTGGTTATCAATTACAATGTATCAGTTCTGCACAACTCTGAAACGTGCTGCAAAGACAAAAGAATTGAAAACAAAAATGATCACAGTGAGAATTTACATTGTCCCAGAAATAGAATAAAATGGAAATCAGCAGTACTATTTCATCTCTCAAACTGGAATAACACTCAGCAGTGTTTACTGCCAGAAGTGAACACAAGAGTGATTATTTTTGAGAATATTAATCCATGTTTCAACCATGGATTTCTGGACAAGTAGATTTCACCAAGGATGGATTTAACCAAGTCCCCTGTTGCAGTTCTACAACACTAGACAGTAACTGAAAGGGTAGAATGGGAAAAGACGTATTTCCTGTAAGGAATGTAAACAGTATTTGAAACATATGCACAAGAATTCAAAGTACATGACAAATCTGGAATAGCAAGCAACTTTTGGTACCTGCAGCTTGTCTTTACTTATAAAGGCATGTATCCCCCACATACAGATACTCCTGAAAATGCTGACTACTATCCCACCAGACTAAACTCTTAGAAATACCATCAGATGATAGTTGGAGATAAATGGTTTTTAAATTTCCACACACAAATCTCAAGACTATTTTCAGCCTAATGCACGTACAGCAACTAACAACTGATCAAATAAATAATGAGGAGCTAATTTCACACCAGTACAGACCTAGGCAGACAAACCAGAACTAGGAGTTATTTCAACTATGCCAAGTATACTTTAAACAATATATCCACCTTTTGAGTGTCAATATCTTGTCGGGTCATTTCCATCTCTTTACTTATCTTTTCCTTCTGTTTCTCACAGGCAGCCAAACGAGAATTTACTTCATCAAGTTCAGACTCCTTTTGCTAAAGAAAGATAAAGAAAATGGCATATGATTTAAAAACAAAAGTACTTTTAATGCTAACTTTTTACTCACTGGTTTTTAGATTACCTTTTTATAGTCTTCTTTGCCTTGTTGAATATAGTTTTCAATTTCTTTCACGTACTTGTTTATATCTTTAACTTTCTCATTTATGCTATTCATCTGCAGAGAAAAGATATCAAATGAAATATGGTCTTCTGTCCAAGAACAGATATGCTCTGTATCAAAGATAGTGATGTGCTCTGTATCAAAGATAGTGGATAACAGTACCACCAAAGTACAATTCCTTACTGTAACTCCCTTTAGTTTTCTAATAAAGTCTTCAGCTTCCACAATGCCAGTACTTCTTATAAGCATGAAAATGTTTCCCAAAAGAAATGAGGGCCACTTAACCTGGGAAGAACCAGTGTGTCTCTTGGCAAGGATGGGTGATGGTCATCCTTGCTGTTCCTCTTGGGTCTACTTAGGAAGGGCTTTTGAATGCCATCAGCCACTAAATATTGCCAAATGTCTCAAGAAGACTTTTTTCAAGACTGCCAAAGGTGAATTACAATTGAGTTCATGTCCTGACTGACATGTTCCTTTTCTTCCCTAAAAGCTCTACCAATCTAAAGCACCTCCTGGTGTTATTGATGTTTCCTAAAAGCAAACTCAATACCACAGCTTCCATCCACTGAAAAACAGTATTCAATCCTGTATCACAGTTAGGCCAAGAGCAAACACACCTTCTCTTGTGTTTCTTTATTACTTGCAGTCCTTTTATTCACTAGTTCCTCCTTCTCCTGCTGCAATTTGTCTAACTTTGTCTCCAAAGGAAGTACCTGTTCTTCTGCTTCCTGAAAAGTAGTTGGAAAAAGTAGCTTTTATTTTCGCATTCTGGTAAAGATCAATAATTTTTCAAGCAGAAAAAAAAAGTAATGTGGTTACTTATTTCTTTTTTGTGTGTATTAAAAAAAGGAAACGTGAAAATATGTATTTTTAAAGTTCCAGAAATTCTCAAAGATACACAATTGCAACACACTACAAACATTTAAAAATCCATCCCATTGTCTAGGACTAGAGACAATATTAAGTACGACAAGATTATTATTTTTTGTTTCAAGGCCAGCAAAGCTAAGGGTTAGACAACTGGGAGTATTTCTCACCCTGATCTCTCTGCGTAAGGACTGAACCTCAGTGCTTAACTCCACAGTCTGCTCCTCCAGCTGCCGCCGCCGCTGCATGCTGCTGACAACCTGCAGCTTCTCTGCCTTGAGCTCATTGACTGCACTCTTCAGCTGCTGAATCTGGCTTTGCTGGTCCTGCTTGCGTTTTTGATTTAACTCAATTTTACTGGTAACTGCAGAGGAAAACAGGAGTCAATCTGTTATCAAAACCATTATTGTAATCCTTACGAAAACTCATCTCTAAATTAAGCTGGTATGACTCCAAAAACCAGCAACAACAAACTAGGAGAACAGAGTTATTTGAGAACATAAAATAAATAAACCAAAATTTTAATGGCAAGAATTTTGGACTACTTTTAGTATAAAAATGAAATAACAGGTTTGTAGAACCTACCTGTATCCCACAAGTGTTTTTTCTCTTGTTTTTCTTTGCTTACTTGAAGCACAGTTCTACTTAAATTGACACCTAGCAGCTTAGCCTCCTGCTGAGCAATTTTTCGTTCAACATCCCTGATATCAGTCTGAAAGTATGAGGAAAAGCACCATTACTACTGTATTAGTCTTTAACCATGTATTTTTTCACCTTTGGCACATAAGAACAAGCTCAGGGCTTGAGGCACTCGAGAGCTTCCAATCTCCTTCCCTTGTAGAGCAATGTCACATCACTGGCAGTAGGTTTATGTCAGCTGCTAGGAACTGGAATTCCTAACTGTGGATGGAATCAGCCAGTAAGGATGCACAGGCCTTTAACATCCCCAGCCCACTTCAGGACAGTTCCATGTGCAATCTGTCCCTGCAATACTGGAATTGTTGGAGCCCCAGGAGCTGCTGACATCTCCACCTGGTGAAATACTCTCAGTCCTTTGTCTGGCCCCAGGTTCCCTAATTGCTCCTTTGAAGGTTCTCAGTCAAGCAAAGATTTTGTGTTGACAATAGAAGCATGAAAACTGCTTAAAACAGTCTCCTAAGCCAGAATAATAAAAAGTGCAGGATTTCTCTTTCCCTTCACTATATATTCAGATGGCACAGAACTAGGAAACACATGTGAGATGCTGGGAATACAGTGACCTATAATGACTATAAGGACTGAAAACACTTAGGTGTACTTGTGGTTGTGCTCAGTTTTGGATTACACCTCTTTTTGCAGTTCATATAGCACAGAATTGAATCAGAACTCAAGGGACTCTGTGGTGCTCAAAAAAAAAAACTTTTGTAAATCAAAGGTTTATTAGTACAACATCATCTAGGTTATACTGTCTTTGGAAGTATTTTAAAATAAGGACCTCAAAGTTCTGTCACATTACTGAATAACTACATATCTAAATGCAAAGGAATATAATTTTATGCATTTAAAAAAAAGTTACCAAAGCATACCTGATACCTTTCCATCAGAGTTATATCCTGTAAACGTGCTTTGGCACCTTCCTCCTCAGACAAAGCTGTCTGGAGAAGTGATTCCTGCTCTTCTATCTCACCCTTCAGGCCTGTTAAATCTCTGTTAGCATTCTGGATCTTGTTCCTCAGGTCTGGAATTTCCTTATCTTGGAGTTCAACTACAGTTCGCCTTAAATAAAATATAAATCCCTAAAATTTCCTTGGTCAAAACCAGCAGCATAAATTGAAGACATTCAAGATCACAAAATCCATTATATGATTTAGCAGTGGAAGACTAAATTTAGTTAAAATAGTATCCCCTTAACCTTGTCCACATTTAACTAAGCTTCTGTTACATACCTAGCTAAGGTAACATATCCCTCATTTTAAGTGAGATTATACAGACAAGCAAACAAAATCTGTTTTGGTTTTTAACTTCATTACAGCAAGTGCTCAGGAGAAGGTACAAAGCACTGAACAAGAGTGCCCTCTTGTGAAGGAAAGCTCTACCCTCATCCATTCTCCAATTCTCCCAAAACAGTTATCCCACCAACGACATTTTGAAATTAATTAACCAGCCCTAGAATAAAGCCTCCTTGATGTCTGCATAGCTTTTTATAATCAAACCCCACAGATCTGAAAGAAAGCAGCCTGTAACCATATGGTTCCCTAAGCACTTTACCGCAGTGGCTTAAGACTCATCATTTCATCACGCTTTTTCTCTTTTCTTTTAAGCTCAGACTCTGTTGACTTCAGTTTGTCTGGGGCAAGGCGCAGTTTAGACTGCAGATCACTGATGACATCCTGCAGTTCAGCCTCTGTCTGAAAAACTCTTTGGCAAACTGGACAACAAGACTGGTTCTCCTCTGTCAGTTGTGTAATGAACTGTGAATAAACTGCAGTGGCTCCAGCAAGCACAGCTGGGTGAAAAACAAACAGAACACTTATGTTGGATAAACAGTGCATAATCAGCTAAATTAGAATTTCAGGGAAAAAAAGTAGAGCTATACACAAATTTACCTCGCTGTTTGGAACTTTTTTCAATTTCATCTTGAAGTTTGTTCAGGTCACTGTCAAAATCTTGACTTCCACAAACATCAAAAAGTTTTGCTTCATGATTGGACAACTGAGCTTCTTTTTTCCTTAGCTCATTACTGGCATAAGTTTTATCATATTCTACTGATGCCAGCCGTTTGCTGAAATATGAATGCAGAAACACTTTTATTACCTGAACACAAAGAATTAGACTGTTTAAGCAAAACCAAAATCCACGGAAAGGTAATCTGAAATTACAGAACTATTCACCAGTTCTTCTTTATTGATTTTTCATGTAATCTATAGCATGAACTTTTCATTGATCCAAGTACAGCATAAGTGTTTCATTTTAAATCCCTTTTGTTTTCTAGAGGATTACTGATGAGAAACTTCCTACTCTAACTGTTTTATATAATCAAATGAAACCAAGAACAGGTAATCACACATGAATTTGTGATATAATCACTAACCACTCTGTGACTTATCAGAAAATCAGAAGACCAGCAATTTCCAGCCCCAGGCACATTCATTCAGCTAGAATTAGTACAAACAGCTAAGGATGTTCCAGATCACTATTTTGCTATCTGCTTTTAGTGCTGTCTTTGACACACTACAAATACTGTGATTTTATTAACTAGCACAAATTGCATCAGCTCTGTATCACAGAAACTCTGCAGGATGTTTTCTCTGATTTTGTAGATATCTAAATAAACACTAATGAATTAAAGTAAAAAGTATTTTGAACATATGAAACTTTCCAACATTTAAATCCATAATTACATAAAAACTTGTGAAGAAATAATCTATTAAATTAATACCTACTTCAGATTAGCAAGAGTATCCCTTGTCTGATTAATCTTTTTATTTTTACCATGAAGCCAGTCTTCAAGTTGTTTTTTACTGGGAAAGTATCCCAGCAGTGATGTTAGTTCTTCAGAATGCCTTGATTTTACTTTTCTAATCTGATCTTCTTTCTCTGCCTGGGGAAATGAAGCATTTTAAATGAAATTTTCCTATCTTTAGGTTTATAACCATCAATGTATTTATTAAGCTAATAGCATCTATGAAGTCAGACAGAAGCTCTACATTTGATTGTTGATAAATACACAAACACACTGAAAAAATACACAAATGTTGGAGGACTGTATCAATTTCATGCCACACTCTTATGAGATATTGATTAAAACATTACTTTGTCTTTCTTCAGCATCTCCATTTGGGTAATGGTTGTGGTGTGTAGATTCAACTGCTCCATCTCTTGATCCAACCTCCTAAGAGCTTTGTCCAGGTTTGTCTTCTCACTTTGCAGAGTCTGTACCTCCTGTTCCAGTGTTTCTACATCGCTGTTCCTCTCAGCCTTCTCCAGCTCATGTTCCTACACAAAAAAATAAAAGCCCAGAAGATACAAATAATTACAAAAATCAATAAAGTTCTAGCTAAAGGAAACAGAAGAAACCTCTTCAGCTGCCTGGCAGCAGCATCAGTAGCTGTTACAGGAACGACACAAGATTTGTAAAGAATAAACATAAAAGGACAAAGGCTGTGACTGGTGTGGGGCAAGAAAAGCCACAGGAAGATACTGAATGCAGTCCTGGAATGCAGCACTGCCCAAACTTGCTCATGCTTTTACCAGAAGCTCACTCATACTTAGTTTGATTATCTGTATTTTAGTATCTACTGTATCTATTGGAATTACCCTAGTGAGGAGGCTAAAAAAACACTGTCAAGTGGAATTCATATACTGCTAACAAACATAAAATATTTGGCTACAAAGGCATAACCAGCTGTTCAGCTGGAACATAAAATGCTTCTAACTTTATTTCATCAGATAAAACACTTATAACCAACTAGTCCATCTCACAGGCAAGTTATCTCCAAAAATGTATGTAGGATGGAACTTTCAATTCAAGTTTCTGGCCCAATAATTTGAGAGTAACCAATCTCCTGCTTGCCAGCTGTGCTATTACCCTGTTTACAACTCACCAAGCAGAAGCAGCACATTCCATGTGTGGACTGCACAAAAACAAGGTAGTGAACAGACCCTGCCCCAAAGGGTGCACTAACTGAACAGACAAAGCATAAAGGGTATTAAAAGGGCAAAAACACATCTGAAAGAGCAAACATCAAGGGGGGGATTATGGGATTTGGTATAGTTTTTTAATGATAAAGCCACAAGTTTTTACTTCAAGCTTCTACAATTTCTTTGATTACACACTAACTTACCATCTTGCCAATCTCCTCATCCAACTCACTAATCCTGTCTGAAAATCCCTCCAACTGCTGCAATTCACATTTGACATTCTTCAGCTCTGCTTGTTTCTTATTCTGAATGTCTGATTTCAGGTCAATGGTTCTTTCTAATCCAGTTTTCTTGTCTCTTATTTCATCTATCTGTTTTTGTTTCATTGTTTCTTTCTGTGCAAATTCTCTCTGAAAGAAGAGCAGCAATAATATAGTCATTATTTTTTAACAGGAAAATATTTTAAAATACTTTTTCACACTAGTGTGCCAATATTCGCCACAGTAAAATATTGAAATACTGAGAAAACTACAACTTGTCCAAAATTATCTGCTGAAATGTCTTTGATAGGAAAATGCAGATGCATCATACCAGTAGCATTCTGTGACAGCAACTCCATTTTGAACACGACTTCAACAAAAAGTTGTTTATTTTTAAACCAGCTGCCCACTGTAATCCTTCCTCAGGTTTTTGAGCTTATCAGTGATCATGTTCTAGCATGAGGACTGCTAGAAGAACCTCTCTGATGAACTGCCTGTTCAATAGCCTTGGTGATTACTCCTAATTTCAAAATTTCCATGGAAAGATGCAGCTGACACATTACCAAGAAGTCTAAAAAAAAAACCAGCTTTAGTTCCCCCCCATCAACACTTTCTCCCAGCACCACAAAGACCCATGTGGACCAATAAAACACCAATGGCCCATACAAATTACACTACTAAAACAACAAAACTCTCACCATCATACGATTTGCATCTTCTGTATCTCTGTCCTGCCTGTCCTTCACCAGCCTGCGAAAACTGGCGATGTGCCTTTCGGTGAAAGGGGCCCGCTCAAACCCATCCAGCTCCAGCTGGGCTGCCAGAGACTGAATTAAGGAATCCCTGGTCACAATGTGCTCCTGGTGACGATCTGCCTGCAGTTGAAGACGACCTCCACAAAGAGAAAAAGTGACATAAGTGTTCAAAAAGTGAGGCAGAAGACACACTTAGGATTCAAAGCCAGTTGAAAGCCTTTGAAACCTTGAAGTATTTTTCAACAACACAAAAAGCTACAGAATAAAAAGCTATAGGTAGAGATTGTTATTTCAGGTAGCTAAATTTGTATGAATTAAATAAATCAGTAATTCAAAAGTAAGTCCCTAAAATCACTAAAAATATTATTCTGATTAAAAAACAAAGCCCAAATGTATTTTATGTAAGCAAGTATTCTGTGTCTCAACTACTACAGCTTTGCTGAAATTCCCATAATCCATCAAAAAGGATACACAATTGAAAGAACATTACCTTAAAGCCCTCTGACTTGTCCCCAGTCCCCACATGAGACATGGAGAATGCCAGGCATTCAGCTTTCATGCTTCTTACATGACAAAATGTACTACATGTTGTAATTACAGCTGAGAAAAAATGCCCGTTAGAAACTCCAGGAGAAAAACACCTAAACTTGTCCACCAGCAAGACTCTCCCACCCCACTGTGCAGGTGAACCTGAACTAACACACATTTTAGGAGTTTTGTCCAGTTCAGATCACTTCAATTATCAGTAGTTCCATTTCAGATTTAATTACATTAGACAACATACAAGACTATAAATGAAGTCCAAATTACCTCGTTCAATAAGCAGCTCTGATTTCTCACTGTTAAATCTCTGGCACTCTTTAGTGGCTCTGTCTAAATCACGCTTACAGTCCAACAATCTCTTCTCCTTCTCCTTCACTATTCTCTGGTGGTTCTGGTATCTATCCCTTAGTTGTTCATCTGTTCCTTGAAAAACCTGTATATCACATACAAATTTATAAGTCAGTTATTAATGTTTTAAAAATGTATAGTTTTTACCACAACAGAATTAAAGAAATAAGACTTTAAACATCTCACATACAGAATCTCTATAATAAGACATACAGAGCGAAAATCTGTAGCAAGCAAAACTGGAAAACTGTTTTCCTTAGATGGATAAAGTATAATAATCTAAGTTTTCTGTCATAAAGGCAACCTTTTCCATCTTCTGTTGCAAATCTTGATTATCTTTTTCCATCTGCCGCTTCCTGCTCTCCAGGGCCTTCACATCATTGTCCAACCTCATTACTTTTGTGAGATTCTGCTCAACTTCTGCCAGAGAGCTCTGCAAAAAAATGTGGTAAGTAAAATATCTCATTGGTTCATGAACCCCATAATCAATCATTTTCAGTGCAAAACCTCCAATTTCATTAAATACGTCTTTAAAATACGAAACATTAAGTTTTAGTTTGGTTTTTAATTATAGCTTTAAATGGTTTTAGATACCAGCTAAATTTTAGAGAGATTTCAAACTGACAAAAATCCAATGCTGCTATAAGAATTCTGTTCTTAACCCTTCAATGACTGTTTATAGATTAGAGCAGCATTTGCCAGGTGAGTTGAGGTATGCTTGAGTCTGCTGCAGGGCCAAGGATTAGATATAAAAGTGCAAGATTTTAACCAAAAAATTCATCCACCTTTCACTTCTTTTATTGTTTTGTATTAAAGTATTAACATAATCCTCATGGAAATTACCTTTAGAGGCTCAAGCTGATTCTCAATTGATATTACATTCTCCTTAGAAGCAGCCAGTTGAGCTTCTCTGTTGCTGAGATGATCCTGGATTTCCTGTGCTTTCTCTTTATTCTGTTTCAGATATTTCAGTTCTGTCTGACACTCTTTTACCTTCAAGCTTTGTTTCAGTCGTACCTGACGCAGAGCTTCGAGTGCTTTGATATACCTTAAAAAAAAGCCAAATTTCAGCTGCTTTGGCAATACAGAAATACTGAAGTATGAAACAGTGTCTTCGACATTTTTATTAACATTTATGTTATGAGAAGACATTTTTTACTTAGTTTTTATTTAATTACAGTAAAGGGAAAAACCTTGTTGCTGAAAAGATCTCATCAAATTTTTGTTTCAGGGCCTTCCCTTCACTTAAGGGCCAGTTGGATTCTTCTTGGTGACAGAAAATGACATTGTTAAGCACAGATTTGGAAACACCAAGGGCGCTGATCATCTCCCGGTCTATTTCAGCACACTTGGAACTCAGACTGACCTTCTCGCCATGCCTGTGGAGACAGAGACAATCCCCAAAGGAGTTACTGGCAAGTTCTTCAAAAAGTGAACTGCACTTTAACAGTATAACCTCATTTTAACAAGTAACAATTTTTAAGCACAAAATTATGATGCTCAACAAAGGCACTTAACACTGCCAACTTTTGAAGTCAGACTGTGTCACATATTAGAACTCTGAGGAACCACCAGAGGGGGTAGGACAGCTCTTGAGTTAAAGGAATATACTTAAACAGTGGAGATGGGAGTTGAACACAGGCCAAAAACGATGTGAAACTGAAAATGGTACTAAAGGAAGTAAAGCCTACATACTCCACACAACAATACTTTCAAGCTGTATCCTACAATCATGGAATCATGGAATGATCTGGGTTAGAAATGCCCGTACCACCCACCTCACTCCCTCTGCCATGAGCAGGAATGCTACTCACATAACCAGGTTGCTCCAAACCTCATCCACCCAGGCCTTGAATATTTCCAGAAACAGGACAGTCACAGATTCTGTGAGGAACCTCTGCTAGTGCCTCACCACCCTTACTACCAATAAAGTTTTCAAATAAATGCTAGTCAACAGATGGAAGTATTTCTTAACACCACAGCTACCACATGTGTGAATTTTCAATCATCTAATAGATAAAGTAATGAAACTACACATCTTTGCAATCTAAAAGAATTAGTAGCTATGTTAAAGAATGCATTCTGTAATCTTCTCTTATCTGATGCATAAAAACATACCAAATCCAAAGCTATCTTCAGGCCAAGTAAGAAGAAACACTTGACAACTTACTTTGTTCTAGTAATGACAGATTCCAGCGTTTTAAACTCTGGAGTCTTGCCTTTCATGGTGCAGACCATGGAGCGCTGGACAGCCATGACCTCCCCGTTGACATCTCGGAACTGCAACCGAATCTGAGCTCTAACGTCGGTTTCATTGGCAACCTGTGGTAGAAGGAAAAAAAACACACAGAATGAGGGGAATTCTTCTCAAGGTCCAAAGGAATGTGTGCCTCTCCACCTGTGGGGCATGTTCTAATCACCCTCAGCTCTCTGCTTTTCTCCATTTCAGCTCAAGGCTGGCTACGACTTGAGCATCCCTGTTTTATTCACAACCTGAGTGCAGTGGAGTATTTTACTTAGGAGCAAACACACATTGCATCTAGTCATTATGACTTACCTTGGGATCATGAACAAATGTTTTTCCTTTGGTGCCAGGAGGAAAATCCCCAGTGGATATATATTTAAGGCATTCAATGATGGTCTAAGAAGACAGAATAAGTATACAGTTATAAAGACAAATTTAGAGTACCCAAGATGGACTACAGGCAAATCCACAGGAACACTTACAAATGAGTTAGATATGTAAAGAGAGAGAAATAACATTTTAATTTTTGAGTACCATGAAAATATGATACTTTGCAAAAGCAGTTTTAATCGGGATATTAATTTCTTTCCTATGAAAAAATATCAACCAGTGCTCTGCAAATTCCAGGCATGAAAGCAGATTTCTAATAACACTAAACAACACAATATTTATAGCAAACAGCATGACTTTTGCAATACTATTAAATACCTTTCTGTAGAAATTATTATTCACATGTTACAGCCTTCCAGACTTATTTACAGCTCAAATCCAAATATAAAGTGAGGCTTACCGTTTTTCCTGCACCATTTGGTCCCACCAAAATAGTTAATGGATTAAAGAAAGTGATAATTTGTTTGTCTTTGTCTTCTACCCCGAAACTCCTCACTCCGAGGATACTCATTTTTTCAATCCTCGACATTTCTGCTGAACTTCTGTTCCAAAGCCAGAGGTGAAAACACTGTAAATCCTGTAAAACAGAGCTTTGTGAAAAATCCAGTAGGCAGAAACCACAACAGATTGCTGAAAGCTGGCTAAACACCTACACAAGCAAGTAAAGCCTACATACCCCACACAATGATACTTTCAAACTGTACTCTACAATCACGGAATATTGGCATGATTGGATCATGGATTGTATATGATGAATACATTTAAAAACACGGCTAAGGTTCTTCAGTTACTGTCAAGGTACAAAACATATGAAGGTAAAACCTTATTTCTTTCAAACAGAGAAATTAATCAACTCCAAGCTAAGTGCCACACTATGTATCATGAAATCAAACACAATGGCCCGAATATCCCTTTATTCCACTTCACAAACACTACGCACGTGCCTTCAGAATGCCCCAAACACAAGAGAAGCCCCAACATGTTTTCCCCTTTGACAACCCAGCGGCGTACTGAAACACCCAACACCGTGCAAGCTTCGCCAATGGGCGTTCCCAGCACCACATCCAGCAGCACATCCAGCACCTTGTCCCGGCTGGTGCTGTGAAGGGGAAGGCTCGAGCCTCCCCAGGCCGTGGGGCGGGCACTGACCGCCGGGCTGTGCTCGGCCGGGAGCTGCCCCGGGCTCTGGGGGAGGCACCGCGGCCTCCAAGGCCCGTCCCCTCCCGTGTGGCTGCGTACTCCGGGGGTGTTCACGACGGCTCGGGCTCGGCCCTCCCGCGGCTCCTCCGGGGCTGCCCGGCCCGGGAAAGGGCATTTCCTGCCGAGGCAGGGGTGGCAGCGGGGCTTTCCCGCCCGGAGCTCCGCGCCGCGCCGGGGGCGGACGTTTTCCAGGGAGACATCCCTTCCCCTACCCGCCGCCGGAGCGCAGCCGAGCCGAGCCGAGCCCAGCCGAGCCCGCCGCGGTACCGCGCCCCCGGCCCGGCCGCCCCCTTTCCCCCATGCCCGCCCCCGGCCCGCCATGGCGGCCCGCCCGCCGCCTCGCACCGCCCCCCGGCGGCCTGCAGCGGTACGGCGCCGTGAGGGCAGCTCCGGGCTGGCGTGTCCGCTGAGGGCTCGGAAGGGAGCGATGGAGTTTTGAGGCGGTATCGTGGTTTGAACCCGGCTGGAAATAATAGAATCACAGAATGAGCTGAGTTGGACCCACAAGGTCATCGAGTCCAGCTCCTGGCCCTGCGCAGCACCGTTCCTGAGAGTCACACCGTCTGCCCTGAGCCTTGTGCAAACGCCTCTTCAGCGCCTTGAAGTGTGACCACTTCCCTGGCGAGCCTGTTCAGTGCCCAGCCACCCTCGGGGTGAAGAGCCTTTTCCTGATACCCAACCTAAATCTGCCCTGACACAGCTTCAGGCCATCCCTCAAGCGCTATCGCTGGTCACCGCAGAGAAGAGATCGGTATCTGCTGCTGTACCCGGCTGCAAGATCTCCCCTCAGTCTCGTCCAGGCTGAACAGACTAAGCACCCTCAGCCGCTCCTCCTATGAATTCTTCTCCAGACCCTTCCCCATCCTCATTGCCCTCCCTTGGGCACTCCCTAATAGCTTTAATGTCTGTCTTGTATTGTGGTGATGAGGCACCACGCAGCCACTGGCTCTTCCCCCCCAACTGCAGTGGAATGGGGAGAAGAATCAACTCTAAAACTGGTAGGTTGAGATAAGAGCAGTTTAATAAGATAAAACAAAATAAAATACAATAATGAAAACTGGTAGATTGAGATAAGAGCAGTTTAATAAGATAAAATAAAATACAATAATAATGGTAAATAATAATAATAAAAATAAATAGGAAAAAAACCCAAATAAGTGATGCCAAATAAAATTGGTCACCGCCTGCTGACCAATGCTAGCCCCTTTCCAGGTAACTCCCCCAGTTTATCTGCTGAGCATAATGTTCCGTGGTGTGGAATATCCCTTTGGCCAGTTTGGGTAACCTGTCCTGGCTGTGCTCCTTCACAGTTTCTTTTCTGTACCTCTTCACTGGCTGACCATATGACTCCAAAAAAAAATCCTTGACTTAGGATACGACTTAGAAAAAACCAGAACATCAACATACTATCAACATTGTTCTTTTCTGAATCCAAAACACAACACTGTACCAAATACTGAGAAGAATTTATCTCTACCTCAGCCGAAACCAAGACAGGCAGTTTTAGGGACTGCAGGAAAGTTTGAGATGATCAGGGGTAGGAAAGGGGATCACTCCCTTTGGCTGGTAATGTTCATTTCTCTCAAGGGCCAACAGAACTCCTTACCTTCTTGTACCAGTCTTCTTCCACATCTTCTTCCTCTTTGCTCCCTATCCCCTATTCATCATCCAGAAAGAAAAAAAGTCCAAGCCAGAGGACTGCCCCTTCCTGCTGCTTCTCTGGAGCTTTGTTATCCTACTCCTGAGGATCTGTAGTCCCTCCAGAACAACACACAGGGTCAGGCTGCACGTGCCATGCACACGCTTAGCTTGACCCAGCAGCCCCTGGCCAGCTGGGAGCCATCTCATGTTCACTGTATGAGCTGACAGCACTGGGAATCTAATTTATCTACACTTTCTGCCAACTCCAAGATTGATTAATAACTTGCCAGCATATTTTAGTATCATATTACAGTAATTTTTACTGTATTTTCACCGTGAAGGGAAACAACACAAGTAGTTCTTGTGTCAGATCAAGTTCATGATTAGGTAACAGAGGCAAACTTTGAAAAACAGCCCTTTGTGCTCAATCTTAGCATCATCTGTAATTAAAATGAGTAACAGAGATGATAAGTGAAGTCTGGACCTTATCAGGAGCTGGTGGCCAGCAGGTGGTTTGTGGCCAACAATTCAGGCTTTCACTACAGTTGTTCTCTGGTGATAATCATATCTTTTATGAGTGCAAAAATGGTTCACAAAACATAAGCTATGGCCACTACAGATTTTGAGACAAGAAGAAATTAGTGTCCATATTGGCCAAACAGCCTGTAAAAATATTGCCAAAGTTCAGACCCATCTTTGAGAAGCCAGTACAGCTCCTCTGGAGAGGAGACACCACATTATACTCCATTTGTGTGTCGCCTCCTGCCCTACAGCTGCCTCGCTATGACTCAGTTGTTCAGCAGCACAATACTTTCTCTATGGCAATATTTTTCCACATTGCCTTCAGATGATGTATGCATCATACTCTGATTCTGTAGCCAGTCTCACCTCCAGAATATTCTGCGAAAGTTCATGATTCGGAGACAGGTTTTGGCACTGTTTCTGGTAGAGTTTTCTGTTTCACACACACTATTTTCCCACCAATATGAAATCTGTTCTCTAAATAGCGTGTGTGTGTATGCTGCTGTGGAATTTCTTGGTTTGGGATTGTTCTCCTTTGACCAGCACAGTTATCAGCTTTTCAGAGTCTATAAAATAAGAGTGAACACAAAAGGCTGAGGACTAGAAGAAACAACCTCTTTCCTGCAACATTTATTATCATGTCATCATCCCTTCTAGAAACCTGTCAATCTGTAGAAGAACAAAAGCAATTACACACTTTTATCTTTCCAGTCTAAACTACTATAAGAACATCCAAATGCTGATTTCTGCTGAGGAATGGAAGTATATCTTGTATTATTACATGCTCTTCTAAGAGCCCAACATTTTCATCTAGGGACCTCTTGTGTTTCTTTAGCTGAGGTGTGACAACAGAATATTTCATAAGTTTAATGTTAAAAGCTTATCAGGAGCTTTTTCAGTTAGGATCAAAAGATCCTTTTAAGATGACTTTTGTTAACTCATAGTTATGCTTTTCTTCTGGAATTTTAGGACAAGAATTTAAAAAGAGTATTTAAAAACTTAGTTAAGCAGTATTTTCAACAAAACTTAAACAGATCTGCTCATGAAATTATGTGTTGAGAAACTGATAATTTGATGTGCACAAGGTCTTTTTCTGAGCCTTTCAAGCAGGTAGCTATGGAAAACCAGATGACTCTTCTCACATCATTGAATGATTTGTCCAATTTTGCTGGAAAATTGTAACCTTTTGATGAGTGAGTATTACACTCTCATAAGCCCTTGCCAGTCATCTGAAAGTAGCTTTCAGCCATTTTGAAGCACTTTGGTTTTTTTCAGTAGATAGTTTTTCCACTTACGTTAAGGGACAAGGTTTTCACCTGATGCCAGGACAGCTAATTCCAGCCATTAATACCTGCCATGCTTTCACTGCTGGGCTGCCAATTAAATCCATGCCTTTTCCAGCCATGTGTTCTATGCTGAATTTCCCCAAACAGTGAGGGCGAGGGAGGAAGGGTAAAGAATCCAAACTGGTTAAGTAGCATTAGGGTCTGTGTATTTCTAAGAAGTTACTGGTATTTTTTACTCACCTTTGAACTGAGTTTGAGTTCATTTAGAAAATCCCACTGAATAAAGGATGGCATATTACTGAGAGACATGTAAAAACTACATAGCTTTTCAGATCTCCATCTCTCTGATTATGTGGTACAAAAGTAAGAATAAAACCACATAAAGATCTGCGTTACAGAAGGAATGCTCCTATTTCCTGTGATAAGTTTTTGATATCATATCATGAAATGACATCTCTTATCCACAGAGGTATTTTCCCCTTACTTGATGTCAGGAGGAAGGAAACCCCCAACCAGCCCCCAGTGAGGCATCCCACAGTGCTCATGATAACTCACACCATGGTCTTGTGCCTTTTCCAATATGAGAAAACTTTCCCTTTCATCTAATATTCAAGGTGTATATATAGGCAGCGTATAGTGCATAAATCAAAGACAGCTTTCCTTGAACCCAAAATGCTGTTGCTCTATATTTTCTTGGTGAGTTGCTGCTTACCTGGCTCAATGGGAGGTGCAGTAGAAGAATTTCAAGCAAACCTCGAGGATCTAGTGACTCCAGCAAACAAAGAGGTGGGTCGTTATCTCTTTTTCTTCATTTCCTACAGTTCTTTTGATGGAAGTATAAAATGAAGTCTGGGTTAGTTTCAGCTCTAGTTTGTATGTCCTGTATTTTGTTTGTTAAAGTTGAGATGCTCAAAGCACTGTGTGTCAAACTTTCCTCAGAAGCTGGTAATTGTTTCCCCAAAGGAAGTTCAGAAATAGAAAACCTGATGAAGATGATATGTATTTCGAGATGTTTAACAATGTGGCAGTCGCTTAGAGGAGAAATACCTTCTAACAGTATATTCTTTTTAAAAATTTTAGGTCTTTATTCCAGTACCCAAGGGGAAATTTCAGGTAAGACTTTCAAACTTCTTTATTCTACTGCTCTTAATTATTTGAAAAATGATGATGCTTTGTAGCACATCTTGAAGGAAAGAGAGACTACAAAAAAAGACCAAATCCTACTAAAAGGGAATACATATGCTAATTTTTTCATGAGCAGTTCTGCTATGCATGCAAATTCAGTGAAGCTATGGGAATAAAGAGCCAATTCTGTGACCATGGTCTCTGAGACTTGGTTGTACTCCTGCTGAAGGCAATCTCAGGAGTTCTTGCAGAGAGATTACTTCTGAGGCTGTTCTCAACGTTACAGTCTCAGGTGCAGACCCTGAACATCACCTGCTGTCATTTAGAACCAAAGGTGGGTGAATAGGGTTAGTACTTGAAGCACTAAAATGTTCTTACCTCTTGGCAAACAAACAAGTTGAGTGTTATAAAGCCCCATAAAGTTTGTGTTTGAAGGAAGCAATTTGTTGGCACAAGAAGTTATTGTCTACAATAATAAACCTGTTGATCAGTGGTTTCAGTTTGTGGTCTGCAGATTTCTCAAATTCTGTGAACTGAAAAATGGTTCATGAAAAATAATGAAGAACAGCCAGCCTGTTGTTTTAGAGGAAAAAAATGTTTAGAGCTTGCAGCTTTAAAGAAGGCTGAGATATAGTCAGAGGGGTACAGTGCTTCTGTCCTCTGTGGGAGGTACAGCTGGGAGAGGGAGTTGGCAGATCTGACATTCTCAGGCTATTCAGTGTGGTTTT